CTGTAATCAGAAGCACATTTAAAACTGGAATATAATTTAATTTCATTCACATGTGTTTCATAAACACATAGTACTTTCTGGATTATAATCCGCCATCAAAATGATACATTTAATTATTCCAGCTGCTGTGAGAAAAGGCTATAAACGATCCGCCACCTGCAGGAATGTACTTGCTCAAATATTGATTTCGGATCATTTTTAACCAAAAAAAATTACGGACTGCAGCTTTAAAAATTTGCTATTTCTCTGGATGTAAACATTCTTTGAAACATCTGGGATAATGCAAGTACAAAATTCAGCAAAATATATAACACTGTTCTAGTGATTTTTGGACATTTTAATACAAAAATCTTACATATTGTGCCTTTAATATACTTACAATAAATAATATTATATATATTTATATGTAATGATTATATTTTAAAAAAATAATATTACATTATATAATATTATATATTAAGTAAGCACCAACTAATAAGTCAGTTTAAAACTAAAATTATGCAGTTGTTGCTTTTTCTGCATAATAAGCATGTGGGCACATCCCTATTTTGTGTACATTTAGCACCCGGATATCAAGTGATTTTCTACAGACTTTAAATACTGACCACAAGCAATATTCCAGAAGATCTGTGACTCTCCCGTCTGGTGCAGGATCCTGTACGGAGCCACACGAGCACTCGAGTCCAGCACCACATCCAACGTACCCACCAGCAAACCTGAGAGACAAACATAAAGAGAGAAAAGTTCACAGGTCACATCTACATGCAGTATGAACAGTGTTGGGGGTAATATATTACAAGTAACGCAAGTTACGTAATCAGATTACTTTTTTCAAGTAACTAGTAAAGTAACGCATTACTTTTTAATTTACAAGAGAATATCTGAGTTACTTTTTCAAATAAGTAACGCAAGTTACTTTTTTTTTTTTCAATTTATTGATTGACAGCTCTCCTGTCCCCATGTTGAGAGAAATCAGATGTTACTGTAGTTCTAAAATAAATGTGAATATGCATTAATTCATCTCACTCACACAAAAAAAAACACAGATTCAATATTCCTCAAAATGAATAAAAATAATGCAACTCAGAATATGATGCAAACCTGCAATAATTAAATGTTAAACAACACAAATATCCTTTATGTATTTAATCCCATTCTATTAACCAATGTCTTTGCTTCTGACCTTCGATGATCCAGTTCAACCATACTAATAAGCGCAAATTACTCTAGACAAACATTTGTGTCTTTTTTTATTGCTGAAGTGTGTTGAAATTTCTTCTTCTGTATTCTACTGTGCGGACGTAAATTTACTTTCCCTTCAGCCTGAGGCTTATTCATTTCACTTTTGGTGTGAAAAGGCTTTTATATTTGCCGAAAATAGAACTTTTTTATTTTAAAATCAAACAAGCAAGCCCTGTCCAGATTTCAAAAAGTAACGCAAAAGTAACGTAACGCGTTGCTTTCCATAAAAAGTACCTAAGTACCGTAATTACTTACTTTTTATGGAGTAACGCAATATTGTAATGCATTACTTTTAAAAGTAACTTTCCCCAACACTGAGTATGAAGAGAAAAAAAAACGTTTTAGTCAATAACAGGCGTCAGAGCGCAGTGGTTTCCTTCAGTTCTCATTGCTGAGACACACATATTTACCCAGATAAACACTCGTGTGTGAGAGAGGAATTTAAGACATGGCATGCCATTTGTCACACACATCTTGACTTCCTCCTACAGGGGTCACATGATCAGTTAATGTGTGATTCTGACGGACACATAAACACTAACTGGCTTCTTCAAAAGGGAAAAAGCTTTGTTGCGATGCGTAATGCGTTGAATATTGCACAAGCGTGACATTAACACACACTACACCTAATAAGAGTCTCACTGAAGTATGGCAAAACACCCGTATGATGTAACTTCCAGACAACAACAGGGTAATGCTGCTGAGGTCTTCATAACGTAATTGAGTTTATAGTCGGGTTCAGAGGTGAATGCAGTCATTCTGCTGTCATGTGAGACACTCCTCTTAAAAAGTGCCTGTTTTTGTGTTTGTTTTTAGGAGCTAAGGAAACGCATATGAATATCTTTCTCAGGAGGGAATAAGAAGTTAACATATTGTGACACAACACAAACACAAGCCAAGCAAAGGCTTTTCTCCCATTGAACTCAAGATACAGATTTAGCGTTAGTTGTAATACTATAATATTGTTAAATGTTAAATTTATCATTTCAACCATCTGTATTTATTACTGTATTTCTTAAAACAACATTAAACCATACACGTATAAATTACAAACATATAAATATACTTAAATATAACACATAAAGCATGTATAAACTTACATTTCATAAACATGTCCGATATAAATAAACATGACGCAAACACAGTCAGCATCAATGAAGAGATGCGACCAAAACAAATCCACCTAAAGATTATTCCACATGTTATAATGAATCATCAGCAAGTATAACTGCGTTGATAAACTCTCCTTCATTATGCATGTGTGATCTGTCATGCATACGAGCCCCGACGGTTTATATTTGGGTAATATCTCGTACCCGTGATGCCTCCTCCGCGCCCGTGTCCCTTCCTCCTCTGCAGGATGAAATAGGGATTCGCTCGCTCGCTCACCCACAGCGCATTGGCCATTAACACCTCCTCCGGGGTAATCCACATGGCTTCACGGACGCTTTCACTCTGTAGATGCGGCGAATGTGTGTTTTAATCATGCCAGAATGGACGGGACTCAGCCGATGTTTGTCTGCATGAGCCGCCCAACTCACTGCGTGCGAAACCAGCCACCGTGGAGCCAAAATGGCCTCCTGAGCCAGTGGAACTTCAAAATAAAAGTATTTAGCACCATCGATAATAAAACTATTAGTAGTAGTATTAGCATTAGTATTATTGTTATAAGTGTGCTCTGCAAATATATTTGATATATCTGTCAATATATTTGAGCTTGTGTTCCACAGCAGCATTAAGATGCGTAGATTTGTTTTATTATTACATGTTTTTGCACTGAGAGATGTCACTTTTTCTGACGGTATTCTATCTGTCCTGTTTGGCAGATAATCAGTTGCTTGCTCTCAATGTTGTATTCAGAAGTTTACAAACTTGAATCTGGGGACCCTCAGTACAAGTACACTTAAAAATGTTAAAGTAAAATTGTTTTTTTATTTGTATTTTTTAGTTTCGGTTAATATGTTATTTTATTATATTAATTCAATGTGGTTGACACAATTAAAAATAAACACTCTTATATAATCAGTCTCGTTCTGCTTTGTACAGTCTGTTGGGAGCTGAACCGACAGACCTGGTTTTCACAATAAATACATCTCCATATAATTCCAATCTGTATAGATTTTTTTTTAATAGTATTTATTGTAGTGCTATACAAATAAATATGATTTGAGTTGAATATGTTTCTTTTCAGATTTGTACATTATTTTAACAGCAGAATATTTAATTCTTTTCACTAAGAGTTAATCTGTAAATGCATAGAGTATTTATGCATGCAATGCGCATTTATTTCCACGTTGTGGCACTATGGTACGCTAAAACAGTGATTCAAATGAAAATTGTCTCAACTGGGATTTGAAGGGTATAAAGATATTAAAGGTGGGGTAAGCGATTTTTCAAAAACGCTTTAGAAAACTGATTCGGGCCGAAGCAGCTAGAAATACAGCTTGGGTGAACCCGAAATAAAATTAACAATGAATAAAATAAAATATGAATAGAGACGGGACTATCATCCATGTATGTAAATAAACAGTTGGTGGCGGTATGTGCCTACGGTGTGGAATACGGCAAAAATTCCAAAGAAGAAGAAGAAGATTCGGGCCGAATAGCAAAACAAACTTGTAGCCAATCAGCAGTAAGGGGCATGTTCCGGCAAAAAACTCGAGAGAAATAGTAGTAAGGGGCATGTCTACTCATGATATGGAGGAGAGAGCGTTCAGTGCACCGGACGGACATTAGCGAGCCGAGCGACAGAAAGATAGAGATGGCGGATAAAAAACAAAAGAGGAAAACGTCTGCGGAACAAAAGAAGGCTTAAGGCAATAAGGCAAGAAGTAGGACCCATGTAAATATCGGATGAGCAGCCGTTTTCTGTCGGGGATTTGTCGTGTCGTGCCGCGCCGCATCCAGTGTAGACCATAGATATGTATATAGGCTATATCTATGGTGTAGACAGCATCGGTGATTATAATGAGTTCTATAGTATTTTGTCGCGCCGCGCCACTCGCGTCCGGTGTAGACAAATTTAAATGGTATATGATATAATGATAAATAAACTATATGTACTTAAAAGAACATCATGGCATTACCATCTGTACTGGTTACCTTTCTATCAAACAATCAGGAGACTCCCTCAAACGTGTGTGTGTGTGTGTGTGTGTGTGTGTGTGTATATATATATATATATATA